TATCTGTTCACTTTTCAGACGTTTATTACAGATAACGCATACGACTGACAGTGGATCAGTTGAAGTGGTAGTCTTGTAGCGCTTAGTATTGCTTTGGTGGGCGTGGGATGTGGTGATTGACGTATGATTGTTCATATGAGTGGTCAACGACTCGTTACAAGTGGTTTGATAGCCGCAGACAACGCACGAGAAGTAGTCTTCAGTCAAATCAATGGAGTGCTCATCGGATATATGAGTCGACAACTGGTCCGATGTGTGGAAGCGTTGCTGACAATCGGTGCACACATGCGTGGGAACCGCTTTGTGGACACTATTCACGTGTAACTCGAGATCAAATATAGTGATAAACATTTGCTGGCATTCGTTGCACCGAAAGCTCATTGAGTTATCGTTTGGCATAACATTAGGCGTCGAGTTTTGGCTTAATTTCTTGCTTTTCATGTTTTCAATCGTCTTTTGTCTCAATATTTCTGTAATAAAACTAAAGTTATTTGAGTTCTTGTGTTGAGATTGTGTTGCATTTGGTGTGCAATTCGTGTCATTAGTATTCAATGCATTCACGTCTTCATCGATGGGCTCTTCGTTCAGATTATCTGAAAATAAATTATTTTAAATAAAACTTTTGTATTGAAAATCTATTTTAAGACAAATACCAGAAACTAATGCATTGTTTTGACTTTCATTTGAGTTTTTGTCATCACTTTTGTTGCTTTTCATGTCTTCGTCGATCGGTTCAATGTTATCTGAAATTAAAACTTATTTTTTGAGAAAACTTTTTAAGTATAAACTTTTTAAACGACAAATACCTGAAACTAAAGCATTATTTTGATTACCGTTTGACTCGTTATTCAGGCTTTTGCCACAATTTTCCGTTTTAATCACTTCTGTGGGCAATGTCTTAGATATCACTTCATTTGGTTCACGAGTTTTGCACTCATTTTCGCGACTCCTTTGCGTGTCTTTCAGTGAATGAAATTGTTTTTCAAATTTCAGTAAATCGTGAAACAAATCGATGTTTTGATTACATTTGCAGTTATTTATCAAAACCAATGATTTCTCTCTTATATTAACCAAACATTCAGTCATTTGTCTCTCAAATTGTAATTCATTTAAAAGTCTCTCATTTTCTTCACTCAACTCATCCATCGTTTTATTATTCATTGTTTTCACTTTAATTCAATTCATTACGAGATTCACGTCAATATTAAACACAACTATAATTGCAATTAAAAGCAAAACCCAATTAATTGTAATTCAAATAAAAGTCCAAAACTTTTGAAACCAATCTATTGTTTACTGAAATTAAGCGGACTTTCGACTCAATTCATACATAAATAACATAATTATATATCAAATACTTATTCACTTTTAACTTAAAAGTTTAAAAGTTTAAAAGTTTTAAGTTTATTTATGTTTAATTTGATTGAAAACTATTAATTATAATTTAATTTTGTTTACGTCTGTATTGAGTGTAAGTATTTTTATGACAATAATAAACAGCGAGTTATTTACAGGCGATGACAACCGGGTCAACCAGTTTTGCCACAACTGTCGTAATGAGTGAACCCATGGATCAGTGTTTGCGATGTGTTTTACTTTTCGAGATTTTGATGTATTAATAGTACTTCCCATTGGAAAGGCTGTTCAGTACTTCCATGTCTTGAGACCACATAAACGGCGTAACCATTGATGCGATTCGTGATTATGTATAAAATAATTTACTTTTATTAATGACTTTCAAGTGAATTACGTTTAAAAACATTGATCACAGACACCGAGTACTGTATAAATGATTTTATATTATATTTGAGTTAATATTAAATTATATTTATATTAAAAACGTTAACATAATTGTAATAATTTTCTCATTCAATGCCCGACTCTATGGCTGACATCTGAGCACTGAATTCAAGGGCTCCGGTGAACGCCTTTTCGACGGCTTTCCTATCACTCGGTTTGCGCCTTTCGGTCAACTTTTTGCCGTTTGTGTCGATACCCATCACTTGCAGACTATTTCGCGGTAACCATTGCCTAAGCAAAGAGACAAACAAATTATCAATTCAATGGTAACTAATCTCTCACTGATTGCATACCACAAGCGCTTCTCATCGAAATAGTTGACTAAATAGCGGTTCCGATCATTCGTTTTCATGTCCACCACATGTTTGGGAGGAATGGGCTCTCCATAGAGAGTGTCCGTGCGATTGGGGTCGACCACCAGCGCCGGGAACCAGGGATGGCCCTGACATTTGGCCCAAACCAAGTCATACGGTTTAATATCAGATCCTTCGCTGTCTGTCGCGGATGTGTCCGAACGCAAGGACTCGGCTATCAAGCGCTTACGGCCTGTGCTGTAGTTATATTCACTGCTGATGTCCATGTGATGACTGGTCTGACTACTGGTGCTGCTGTCCATGTATTCATTAATTATGTGACTAATTGTGCTGTCGATGTGGTCTCTAATGATTTGACTACTGGTGCTGCTTTCCGTGTGATCACTAGCTGTTTGACTACTGGAGCTGCTGTCCATGTGATCACTAGTTGTTTGACTATTGATACTGGAAGTGGTCGATAAGGTCCGGGTGGATGACTTTGGATGTCTGCCTAAAATAGAGCTTTCCACTGATGTGTCTGTGCTGTAAGGGCTGACCACAGGTGTATAGCTATCTACGATAGTGTGTTGTGTGGACACATGTTTGACGAGCTCCCGGTGCTCTGTTGAGCTGTAGAGACAGACTTTGCAGTTATATATTATCGACTTTTTATTCATCTGTGAATTGCTCTTAATTTTTGAGTGTTTATAAACTCCACTAGTTTTGGACTTAAAGGAATGGCTATTAGAGGAATGGGTGGTCATATGTCTGGCTAACGATTGTCTGGTGTTTGCCTTATAATCACATGAATCACATGAGTATTGAATTGCCGTCAAAGCAATGGAGTCTCCATTAGACTGAAGTTTTTTGTGAACAGAATTCACGTGAATTTGCAGATCTTGTTGGGTGTCAAACAGTTGTCGGCATTCAATGCATCGGAAGTCCTCGTGATTACTGTCTGACATCTTATTGAGTGATAATTTCCACCAATTTCCGCAAACTGTGGTTTGTGTCGATTCTGTGAATAACTTCCTAAATATTACTTCATTTGTCTCATGAGTTTTCGACTCATTTTCACGACGTCTTTGAGTGCCTTTCAGTGAGTTTTCATTACGACCGCAAAGTTCACAACTTTTACCACTAATTATGGTTTGCGTCGATACTGTGGACCACAACTCAAACTTCACTTCATTTGTATCATAAGTTTTGCACTCATTTTCGTGAGGTTTTTGTTTGCCTTTCAATGAATGAAATTGTTTTCATATTTAATTAAATTGTGAAATAAATCGATGATTTGATTGCATTTGCAGTTATTTGTCAAAACTAATGCATTACTTCTAAAACAAACCAAAACTTCATTCAATTGTCTCTCAAATGATAATTCATTTAAAAGTCTCTTATTTTCTTCACTCAACTCTTCCACCAAATCATTGATCAGTATTTCACACATTATTTCATATATCCATTCATTTTGACAATAAAAATATTATTAGATAATTCATTATAATTTGATGAACAATTTTAATTTGACTTTATAAATGCAAAAAACAAGCATGTATTAATTTTAAAGTGTTTAAAACACTTGAATTAGCATGTACAGTAAGTTACTGTATATATTCAATGAGATATGAATCATATGATTAAAACACCATAAATTAATAGTAGTGAATAATATTTAAACAAAAATGATACATAAAATTCAATTTTCCACATTTTATCACATATATCGTTGTATACAACTTTTTAACGATTTTTATTTCCATTACATTTCCACTACATTTACTTGAAGCATTACAGTATTTGTTATTATGCAGTTAAACATGTTTTTTATACAAATAAAATACTACTATAATACACAATCAATTATCCTGTTGTATTATACAACGTGTATACAATGTATAGGAATTTCCTGGGTCTAATTATTCACTCAAAACTTGCAAATATTGAGACAATTGTTATAAATATGAAGTAATTATTGAGACTTACGAAGGGAAAAGTAAAGAGAGTTATTACATAATACAATGTAGAATAATATTCTATGATTCAATGCATACAATCAATAATGTGACCGGGTTAATAATATTCTTACAGTTACATTGCCGCAATATGTGAGAATAGGGTCGTCATACGCAACATAATGCCCACATATTATCCCTTCACTCCCAATGTATTCAACTTTTATGATATAATACACTGTATCATATCACTATACACTATATACACTATACACTATATTAAATACAGTATCATAACTGTTACTACAGTACAATAATAATAATAATAATAACAGTTAGAGTACAATAATAATGTACTCTATAATATGTGCACAAAATTCAAATACTTATTTATAATACAACATTTTTAGACCTTGAACACGTATCCACCCACTTATGGATCATTTGAATAATATATTTGTATCTACAGTAACATAATTTAGATGTGATTCAAACATTTCCCGGTACCTGGATGCTTTCGTTATTAAAAGAGTATTGATTTGATTAATAATACTGTTTACTGTATATATTATAATAACTTATTACAAATAAATATAAATACAATATTCTGGTATTTTTCTTTCATTAAATATATAGTAAATAAGTGTTTAGTGAATATTGTTTTAATGATATAAGTGAAAAAGGACAGTTGTATAAATAATAGACACTTTATATAACTTTCAATAAAATGTACATGACAATTAATAATTACGCTATTGGTATAGTTTTGCATTACTCTAAGATAATAATTATTACTAAAAACATTACAATATATTTGATTATGCAAACATTATTTTGAAACTAGTACAGTACACATGGAAACATAAATTTTGTTAAATGATTTTTGAAACAATGTGATCATTTATATTATGTGTATTGGATATTAATAAAAAATACAACTATACATTTAGAATACAACATTTTGTGACCTCTTTAATCGACATTTAACTTATCAGGGAGAATAATCACACCTCTACCTTATTTTTAAAATTATTATCTTAAAATTTAAATGAGTGCACAATTTAATATTTTTTTACATAATTTGCAAGAATTATTTTACAATATTTCAAAATAGTTTTGATGCAAATGTTTAAATCAATTATTAACATAGTTGGACGCAACGTTCACTTTCCCCGTTAATGTCCATTAGATTCCTCAGTGTTTTCGGACAACTCTGTATAGAATTCAATCATTTCTTAATAGCAATCATTGCCTTTGAATTGCAGTTTGGGTTGAGATGACCGATGAATACGTTGTTTTTTTAGCACGCGGTGGTGTGTCCACTGAATGCCATCTATACATATGGGACTCATAATTACACTTAATTTTTGTACTATAGCCACAAATATTGCATTTGAATGCAAGTGTGTCCGAGGAATGCATGTAATTCTTATGTCGTTGTAATGTATGCTTAATTTTGAATCGTTTATTACAGATATCACAAGTAAACAGTTGGTCGTCAGTGAGAATGGTATGAGTGATCACATGATATTTCAACGAAGATTGGTATTTTGTGGTAAAATCACATGAATTACATCTGAAGTACTGTTCCCCTGTGGCAGTAGTGGTCGAGTGGCTTGTAGTGGTAAGGGATGTGTTGGTGGTGTCAGAAGGGGTAACCATTGTGTCATTGGGACGACTTATATGATGACCGATATGTGTGACTTTGGATGGAGTGACTGAGTTGTCATCACCAGAGTTGTGACACCTGACCACTGAATGGTGTCCATACATATGGAACTTATAGTTCTTCATATACTGTGAGCCATAGTCACAGATATTACACTTATATTTAAATATCAACTCTGAGTGCATGGATATCTTATGGTTGTGTAGCTTTTCTTGAGTTTTGAGTCGTTTATTACAGACATTACAAGTGAAGGACTGGCCATCAGTGGTATTGGTATGAGTGGTCACATGTCTTCTGAATGAATGTCTGTATTTTGTGTTAAAATTGCATAAATCACATCTGAAGTACTGTTCCTCACGGGATGCTGAAGACCCGGCAGAACTTCTGGAGGGTTGGGATGTAGTTATGGAGTTGTCAGGCGTAGGGATAGTGATATCAGTACTGATTTGATCTTTAGTACCACCTTTAGAGGTATGGGATGTCGTGTTTGTATTGCAATGTGTGGTCATGTGTTTTATTAGACATTCACTATTAGTCTCATAATCGCAAAGATCATAACTTTTACCACTATTTGTTGTTTGTGTCGATACTGTAGATAACAACTTAGACATCACTTCATTTGATTCACTTTCTTTGGACTCATTTTCGTGAGGTTTTTGTTTGACATTTAATGAATGAAATTGTTTTTCAATTTTAATTAATTCATGAGATAAATCGCTGTTTTGATTGCATTTGCAGTTATTTATTAAAACTAATGCATTACTTCTAAAACTCATCAAAACTTCATTCAATTGTCTCTCAAATGATAACTCATTTAAAAGTCTCTTATTTTCTTCACTCAACTCTTCCACCAAATCATTGCTAAGTGTTTCACACATTTTCACAATATATTTGTATAAATTTGCATTTCACTAAACAACTGAGTTTCAAAACTTTGAATTTAAATACACTTTATTTCACAAAAATATTAATTTAAAATGAATTTTACATACGTTTGCAATATTTCGAAGAAATAATATATTAATTTTTAGATCTTTTTAATTAATAAATGTTTATATTATGCTAATAAAAACAAGTACAGTATTAGTGTAATGATTAATCAAATTTTGGTTTACAAAAATTAACAAAATATTTTTAGATAGTGTTTTCTATAAAAGAATTATTTTCTATCGATTATCGACAAAAATCTGTATATTTGAAAACGAATAACTACTACAATTATAATAATTATAATCGTATACACCCAAAATC